ACTTGGCAGCATGTTTCAGGACATAATTTAGCATTTTAGGCATTTCTGGGACTTTTTATTTTTATGGATCTTTTCACAATGGTAAGGCTATAGTAAGGCATGTTTTGGAGTTTTTAGCAAATATTTACTTGACAACATTTATTGGGCAATAAACTTGCAGTTGCACAATAAGATTTACAATAATATTTTACAATAAGAATCAATGCTAATGAACCAGCGTGATCAGAGACCATATTTACATCCATTTTTAACTAAAAAAGATGAATCCTGTTTTTATTCTCAGATATATTTTGTGTTTCGCTGCCCTCTACTGGTAATGTAATACAACCTCCTGACATTATTTGCTGATTGACTTGCATTTGAAACTGCTTAACGACCAACACAGATATTATTTTGTTATTGGAATCTGTGATTAATTAAGATGTTAATTGCATACATTTAAAATAATGAACTTTTTTTTCCAGCTCCAGCCGAGTACAAAAACTAAATAATCACTCCGCTACGAAGACACAGACTCGGACGAAATGAAATATTAGGGCGGGGTGAATGGAGAAGAAATCCAATCAGAGCAAATCACATGTGAGGGCAGGCTGATCATTTCGAAAGCTGAGTCACAGCTTCGACACACTTCTACTAGCTTCACTTGTTAGCAAAAACCCCTAGAACGTATGTGAAAAACAGAAATGTCAGCTCAAGGTAGGACATAACCGTCAACCCTGTGGAGAAAAAAACACACCAGACATTGATACGTGTTTTTATTATAGGCAGAAAGATAATACACTTTGGGGACAGTGACTTTACAACTGAAACATATTTTCTTTTATCTATTTCACTTTTGTTTTTCTTATAGGCTACTTATTATTTTTGGATAAAAAGAAATCCAAAAAATGGATAAAAATGCATTTAGCTTTATATATAAAACTGTAGCTATGCACTGCTTTATACGTAAAAATCAGGGGGAAAAAATATTTTTTTATCCTTACTGAACCTACCTTAATGAAGTATAATCCTATATATTAAAATATTTAAAATGAAAATCTTAAAATACTGAAAAATCTAAAAATAAATAAAATATAAACCTGAACACAAAAACGCAAATAAAAAATTTAATAATAATAAACAAATTTAAAACAAAATAAAAAAAGTACTTGATGAAATTATACTAAAATTAGAAAATAAAAATAACAAAATTCTAATTGTAAAATAAACAAATTAAAAACAGAATCATATGAAAAAAACTCAAAGTATTAAATTAAAATCAATTTAAATAAATATTTTTAAAAAACACATCTCTTCATGAATAGTGTGCTTTAGCAGAAGGGGTGGTGCTACGAGATGAAGCTGCAAATGTTAGCATCAACACTTTAACATCAGGGATTTTTTTTCTCTCTTTTTTTGGTTGACAGGCTGCAGTCAAACACTGCACTCGTCAGATCTGCTGATGGTAAAAATAACTCAGCACACAGGAAGTCCTGTGGTTTCTCACACTCCGAGTCCCAGCTGCAAATGAAGCTGATGAAGAGTGCGGCTGTGAGCAGCAGCAGAAGCAGCAGATATTGACCTAACCTTCACCACCCTAAAGGATGTTGAGCAACTCAGGCTGGTGAGATCTATGTTCATTCAAAGATGCTACACTGCCCTCAATAAAACTTTTTGGACACCAGTGTTCATACTTTAGCTTAAGAGGAAATGAAACACCAACTTTGACATTTTACTAAGCTAACTTTTAGATGTTTTCTTATTTTTTCAAACTTTTTAGAAGATTGTATGTCCCATTCACTCCATTCTGTTTATTCTTACTTTAAAGCCTCTTTTTTCAGTTTCTGGTAACATTTTGCTTTATTTACCTAATATTTGGTCCAATGGCCGTTTTTTAAGGATCTTACCAAACTTTTTGCCATGATACTTTTTCAACATTTGACCAAAAACTATATGCTAATTTGCTAATTGTTATATGTTCCAGTGTATTTTATTAGAATATTTACAATGTTTCATACCTGCTTTTGACTATTTAATGGCCATTATTTGGTAATAAGTTGGATTTGTTTTGGGTTTTTTTTGCTAACCTTTGGTTCATCCTGTGTTATAAGAGTTATTTGGTGTACTGTATTTGCAATTTGGTTACGTTACGTCCAAGTAAGAGCTCTACTTTGATTTTATTTGCCTAACTGAAAACTACATTTAGAATATTGGTAAAGATGTATTCTGCTTTATTTTATTAATATAAACATTGGCCATATGTACATTCCATTGTGTTTTTGCTGAATAATTTTAATTCTGATTGTTAAAAATGTAAATTCCATTAAGACAACTGTGTTTTGTGATTTTGAGATCTAAAAAAAACTTGACATTTGTTACTGGTCCCTCTTCAGGCCTTTTAACTAACTGTAAGCTTCTTTTTACCAATTACTATTTACCAGGGTACTTTTTGTGCTAACATATAGCATTTTTGTTTCAATTTGTGGGGGTATTGTAATACAAGTTACCAAAGACAAATGTGGATTTCAGTAGATTTGTACAACTGTACTGTGAGGTCAAACAGAGACAGTACATGCACACCCCCTCCCCCTTCAGAATGCTGAGACAAACCTGCCATTTCATTGGAAAAGCTCTGATATCATTTGAATTTATTCATGTCTGGTGGAGTAAACTTCAAATGTGTTCTCCTCTGTAGCCCCCTCTGACGGTCGTCCCTTCCTCCCATCAGCCTTTCATGCTAACGGGGCGCTAACAACTGGCTCCATCGCAGAGCTGCATCTCCTCCCAGGGCACTTAAGGTAACACGGACAGCGGGGGTGGAGGTGGAGGCAGGGCCAAATGGCTTCACGGGATCAGGAGCCTTATTGCTGGTCTTTGTCAGGACAGAGAGCCCACCACCACCACCACCACTGCTGCAGTGGTGGAAGGTGGTGGTGGTGGGCTCAATACACAACCAGAGCAGCCAGGAAGAGAGCCTTCTGTCTGCTGCCCCTCCCCAACAGCACCTTTGAAATTCTGCTCCCTGGACTTTAACTTGGAGACCAAGAGGAAGTGATGAGTTGATTATATGTATGTTGAGCCTCAGACTCCTCACTGAAACACATTTAAAAATCATGTTTTCATTTATTTGAGTCCTGTGATGGAAAAACAACCATAATGCCAAACAATTTGGAGTCAAGACAGGATTTTCTAGTGGCCTCTGAATTCTAGTTATAAATATTATAAATTACTGTCATTGTCATTTCAACATACAGTAAATCATGAATCTTCATCATCTCCACCTCACCCTCCTCACCCATCACCACCTAACACACACCCACACACAGTGTTGACTGTTTAGTCTCCGCCCGTTATCTAGTGACCAATCAAGTTCAAGGACCGACCTCTCAGGGATAAAGACACTCTGGTGTCTTTGACCTCAGAGTTAAAGCACCCAAACGCAGCACTTTGTTGCAGAACTTGAGGGAATCCACTCCTGGCTGTAAGGACTGAAGGAAAAGAAGAGGAAAAAAAGATGCAACACTTCTCAGGTGAGTCCTGGTTTCATGAAGGTACATTATCACACCAGGTTTTCATGTAAGTGCAATGTTGATGTTGAATTGAAGTTTCTATATTTTTTAGTGTTTTGCTGCAGCTTGCACACCGTTGTTTTACAAATAGTCGATTCTCTTGAATTTAACTTTTGACTTTTAACGTTTGGTAAAAATGTTGGTCAGAACTTTCCAGAACCTTCTGCAGCTTTTCAGTATTAAGCCTTAAACAGATGTTTACGGGTTGAATAAATCCAATAAATACAGGGTTGATAATTTAGATTTAATCAAATCTAAAATGCTAGAAAAAAATAACTTAAATTTGGTTGAAATCTAACAACATTTTTTTTTAGAAAATTAACCTTAAAATAGCCTGGGAAATAGACACAATTACTGAAAGTATTTTTAATTTTTACAGAACCCTGAAATTTGGAGCATAAGGAATTTATTGCTATTTACACAGCAAAACATCTGTGAACATATATTTACATTAATATACATGTAAACATGTATTTGCATATTAAAAATATATATGTGGCTATATATTTGCATGGTATAAATATATGTGAACATACTGTATATTTAAACAGTGAAACTGAGTATGTGAACAGGTATTCACAGTATAAAGATGTGAATATATATTCTGACAATATGAATATATGTCAATTTTATTTTCCCACAGACTCACAGAAGTCGACAGTGACCATGCCTCGCTCTCCTGCAGCAGATTCGTACCAGCAGGGTCCCATCAGGGTGACGCTGGAGAACTCTGGTCTGTGGAAATCCTTTCACAGCATCGGGACAGAAATGATCATCACGAAGCATGGAAGGTAGGATGAGGCTGAGCCGCAGAACCAGAGGAGAACCAGCCGGGTCGTCGACACCGGAGAGTTAACAGAAGGGCTCCTCTGACGAGTGTGTGCTTGTGTGTTTGTTTCAGGAGAATGTTTCCTCACTGCAACGTCAGCATCACTGGTCTCCAGCCTTTTGCCAACTACGTGGTCATGATGGACATGGTTCCTGTGGAGAGCTTCAAATACAAGGTCAGTGAACAGCTTTTAGTTGCAGGGTTAAAACCAACACATTGTAGAGAAACCCTTCAGTCTGGCCGACCAGACTCGGTCCTGCCCACCCTGTGCTGCAGCCTTGCATATCAAAGCTCTTCATTGCTTCCTGTTTGTGCACTCACAGTAGGGGGGGTAATTAATTAGCATCCTGCCCCTTTTAGTCTCAATCAGTGAATGAGGAGCAGTGGGCCATCACGCAAACATCAGGAGATGTGGCCCATTTGGTCGGCCATACTGGCCATAGCCCACAGTTGGGAAACAAAGAAAACGACAATGAAAGAAATGCAAATGGACATTTGGTGTTGGGGTGAAGGTGCAGACGTTTGAAACAACATCCTTTCAGCAGAAATAAGGAATGACCAAAGTCCAACTCAAGCTAACTTTGTGCTAATATTTTATTTCTTGTTTCGTGTTTGTTGCTTAATTAGAAGTTTTTTTAAACACAATTTATTTTAGGAACCAACTAAGTCATTAACTGTCTGACTTTTTGTTACATTTCACCATTAATTTACAGCTAGAAAAAGTTTATTCTTAAATACTTCATGCTTTATTCTTGTTATTCTAATTTGGCCAAAGGTTAGGATGTTGAGATGCATTCAAATATTGTTTTTTTTTTTGTTTTTTAACTTTTAGAAAATTTACTTTTTAGTTTTGCCTTTTGCATTTATTTGCCCTTCTATCAAATTATTTTTTTATTGTCTGAGTTAAACATGACTATTTCTTTGAATTTTTTTCTTAAAAAGTGAAGCTATTTTTTGACCAAAATGTCATTAAGTATATTTCTTGTCTTGTCTCCTCTGCAGTGGAAAAAGGACCAGTGGGAGGTGGCAGGAAAGGCCGAGCCCCAGCCTCCGTGTCGCACATTCATGCACCCAGACTCTCCTGCCACAGGAAGTCACTGGATGAAGCAGTCGTTGTCCTTCCTCAAGGTTAAACTCACCAACAACACACTGGACCAACATGGCCACGTAAGACTACCGGAACATCACCATGCTCTGTCAACGGACATTTTTAAGGCGGGAATTTTGCTCATGGTTCTGTTTGTTCCTTCAGATCATCCTACACTCCATGCATCGCTACTACCCCAGGTTCCACGTGGTACAGGCCGACAGTCCCTACATCGTCCGCTGGAGTCACTTTCAGACTTTCACTTTCCCAGAAACAGCCTTCACTGCAGTGACAGCTTATCAGAACCCAAAGGTACAAAGCTGTTCCATTTAAAACATTCAAATTTATAAAACTTATTTATAAAAAAAACCTGAAACTGGGAGTAAAACAACAAAGTAATATTTTCTCATGTTGTCTTTCATTTATGTAGATAACCAAACTGAAGATCGATCACAATCCATTTGCAAAGGGATTCAGGGAAGGAGGAACTCATTCACACAGTAAAAGGTAATATACGTATTTATATATACAAAATTACCTCTTTTTTTTCATTTGCATGATTAAAGAGTTTTTCAGTTTTTGTTCAAAATGTAAAATTTAAAACTAAATTGACTCAGAGTGTAACCAAGCATTGTTTGTACTCTTTAAACTAAGTGGAAATATGTAACATAAAAATGTTTTATAAATGTTGTCAGACAGTTGTCAAACAGCTGTTCTGAGTTCTTTTTACCTGCTCTACAATGAAGGGAAATTAAATTGTACTTTTTATTGCATTGCATTAAAATGTATTTTATTCTAGTTATGTGAAAACTTTAAGAAAATACATTTTTTAAAAATATATTTTCAGATGTCGATCAAATGGAAGTCCTCCTGCCAAGCGCCCAGCTAAGGACCTTAGGATATCTTCAAGCACTCCCACAGGTGAGTCCTCATTTATTTTAAATCTTGTTAATCAACATAAGTTGACTTGGAGAAACTAACAATGTTGGAAATCAGGCTGTGATTTTCACTGACTCCATGTATTTCCCTCTTAGACCTGCAGAGGTTGCCCTCGTCTTCCCAAACAGAGGAAGCTAAAACTGACCTAGCCTCAGATTCACAGAGGTCACCAAAGACCGGTCACTACTCAACCTGGGCTCCAGAGCAGGAGCCACCCGAGAGTCTTCATGCAGAGAACCTGGAGATGCAGGAGTACGACTATAGCTGTGAGGAGCAGATGGTTCCTGTGTCCGTGTCCTATCAGCCCTACAGGTCTGAGCTCAGGTAAATACAAAGAGCTGAAAACAACTGAGACCCTCAACTGGAAAATAATGAAATATAAACTGATAACCCTCAAGTTAACACGTGTGTGATGTAGATGTAATATACCAAGGCTTTGGACTTAAGGTCAAGTCGTTTTTAATACAGCAAAAAGTATACAAAAAGTATAAATTTGGCAGTACACATTGGATGTGGCAATACAATATTCCCACATAGTCGCAATATTGTATTGCCACATATATATGTATATTCAATATACATACATACACACACACACATATATATATATACATACATATATATATGTATGTATATATGCGTATATATGTGTATATATACATCCATATATACGCATATACTGTATATACACATACATATATACATACATATTTACATATATATATATATATATGTGTGTGTATATGTATGTATATATGCGTATATATGTGTATATATACATCCATATATACGCATATACTGTATATACACATACATATATACATACATATTTACATATATATATATATTCAATATACACACACACACACACATATATATATATATTCAATATACATACACACACACACACACACATATATACACACACATGTATACATGTATATATAAATAGTGTGTGTGTGTATTTAGTACTGTATTAAGAACATTCAATTTAAAGCCAGATCATTTCTTTGCACTCGCTAACAAATTTGTTTAAGTTAGCTGACTAATATTTAAATTATACTATTTTGGAAAAAGGGAAGAAAAAGTAGCCAATTATACTATTTTGGAAAAAGGGAAGAGAAAGAAGCCCAAAGAGTTTGCTATCGCAATCGCGTCTCATAAAGATGTTAAAAATACTTGACCTAAAATGCATATAAACATATCTGCTGACATTTAGAAAGACTGGTTACACACAAGCAAAGAAGCAGAAATTGGCACAGCGTGTAAGTGTTGCTAATTAATTAGCATTAGTTAGCAGTAGCATTAGTTAGCATTAGCATTGAAAAGAGTTTACAGATCCTGTAGATGTCTGACGTTCCTTTCCTTTTTTTAGATCCCTGGAATACGGCAGTTTCCTCTACCCTTCCAGTAACGTGGATGCAGCTCACGCGCACGTCCAGCCAGCTCTACACACACTCCCCTCAGCAGAACACGGAGCTCAGCAGCACACCTACCACCACCCGCACCATCAGCACCATCATGTGGCTGCAGCAGACTGGAGCCAGTATCCTCTGTTCTCGTACTCCTGCTGGTGACTCAGGAACACGGCACCCCTGATGGAGAAGCAGAAGAACTGTTATTCTAAGAACATCGTCATGGACCGCGCTTGTGTATTTTCTGGACCTTGAAGAGCATGGCCTTGCATGGACCAAAATCTTAACTCTCCAAGTTGACCGTTATTTTTGTTTATTTTTAAACATCTACTCTTGGATGAAAATACTTTTTACCTTTAAATACAAATAAAAAACATTTTTTTTGAGTTCCAGTGAATATTCCATTTAATATTCCTATCCTGTTGAGGGGAAATCTGTGTAAAAATCTGGCAGAAGGAATTAAATATTTGTCAATTTGTACATGACCTGTAATAAAGGTGACTTTGTCAAAAGGTTTGGGAATTCTTCACACAATCTAAACAAAACCACAGTTATGACTGTACTTAAGACTAAGGTTAAGGTGGAACTTTATCTATGCCACACTGGGAAAATTATTTTGTTGCAGCAACACAGGGGACAGAGGCAAAGACAAAAGACTTTTAAAAACTACAACAACAATTAAGGTAAAACTTAAATTATCTAGTTGTGGGCCGGATGAAGGGCGTTCATGGGACAGAATAGGCCCCCAATGCTGGGGGTTTGAGACCCCTGGCTTAAACAATTGGCTGAAAAGCTGATTTCTGTACAAACTGTTTGTAGGGTTTTATAACTTGAGATAAGTTTCAGAACAACATGGAAACCAGCTGACATACCTGGGAAGGAATGAGTAGATTCAGAGGCAGCTGTGGTTGTAGGCTACATTAGTGGGCGACAGTTGCTTCATCGGGGCATAATGCTGTAAACAGTCAAGAAAAGAAATATATTAAAATGGAGACAATGGCAAGACCATCACCCAAAGACAGGACGACTACTACTGGAGTCTGACAATGATTCTTTACAGTTTAGAGTTTCATGGACAACAGTCAATAAGGAAGGAAGTTAAGTTTTTTCGTTTTGGCAACTCAAATAATAAAAGTCATTATGGCAATTTTGGTCTATTTGCCATTTCAGAGATGAAAAGGCAGAGGTGGAGAGTTTAACAGTGACAGTGACCTGCTCCAGTGCTGACTGACAGTTAGTGTGAAGTTACCATCATGATCTGGCAGATCTGCCTCAACAGAAGGCATCTACGTCTGTGCTGTAAATGTTTCAGAGGGACGGGGGAAAGAGAGGGAGACTGAGAGAGAGAGAGAGAGGACAGATCTGGGACGTTTACAGAGACCCTTCAGGGAGAATGTAGAAAGTAGAACACATCATCTGACATGACACTCTGAACACAGCTACATATAAATACACACACTATATGATCTAATAAAAATACAGTTTTACTTGTCTTTTTAAGATAAACTGATACTACATAGAAACATTTAGAACAGGTGTGGGCAAACTTTTTGATTCGCAGGCCACAATGGGTTCTAATATATGACAGGGAGGCCGGGTCAGGTCAGATAGATGGAGCGTTAGTATGAACTAGGGTCTGGCATTAAGGCTAAATACTAAAATGAAATATAATGTTAATATAAATTAATTATATAAGTTGGACAAGTTTTGCGGGCCAGATTACAAATAAAAAAACGGGTTTCAACTGGCCCCCGGGCCGTAGTTTGCCCATGCCTGATTTAGAACTTTAAAACACAGTCTCATCAGTTTTTTTCTCCACTGTGTGTATTTCAGATGGTGAATATCTCTCACAGTACTTACCACGTAGTGAACTGTGAAGCACCTTCGGGGTGGAACGTAGACATATTTCTACTATAGCAGTGGCCTCCAAACTTGTTCTGCAGCGCCCCCTCTTGTCGTAAATTCCACCAAACTGCAAACATAAATAAATAAATAAAACAGCTTGCACAGCCATTGTCATTGAACAAGGTAAATAAAAATGACCAATCAGGGAAATCTCTCTTCTGTGGCACAAAAAGAAAACGTTGCAGCTGACTGAAATGTCTCCGTGCGGCCTCTAGGGTCTCAACCCCAACTTGAACTAGAGAATGCAGATTCATAAAAACACAGGACGTGATGGTAAACTGTCCGTTGTGCCAATAGATGGTTGGTTGCCTTGAGTATTGACTGTTGGCACCAAAGCTTGAGTTTTCCCGGCAGTAGGGTCGATGTTTTCCAGATTGTCCTGCCTTACCTGTTGCACTTGGTCTTTGTCCTTGAGGCTTGTGTTGTAGCATCTACCCAGGCTCTTGACAGGTTGCTAAGACCTCACTGGTATTGGGTCACCAACAATGCAGAACTATCGACCCGACTATAGAGCTGCTCCGTGACTTGTTGGAGTTGATTTTGATCCAGGCCCACTTGAGGTTCTCCTGCAGTTGAAGAAACATATTGAAACATGGAGATTTCATTTCACACCAATACAGATGTGGTGTATGTGTTTTTGACATGACAGTGAGCTAATGTGAATATTCTAGAGCAGGGGTCACCAAACTTTTAAAAAACGGAGAGCTACTTCAAGGGTACTTCCAGAACAATGTAACAATAATCAGTTCTGGGACATACAATAGCAGACACTCTTCTTACCTTCGCCATTGGACCCATTTGAATATCATTATCAATATCAAGTGTAATTGATTCAAAAAGCGCAGTAACAGTACAGTTATTTTAGAATGCCCTTTTGTCAACATTTTGGGCCTTTAGAACATCCCAAATGTGCTTTGATATTTCTGGGATAACTAAGGTAAAAATTGTTACCATTTGTCTTCACAAAATGCAAAAACACTTAATTTCTGACTACAACTGGATTGCAAGAAAAAACTATGGCATATAAAATCATTAACATTATTGGTAATTTGTGGCACTTTGGCCCAGAGTCAATGTCTCTGTCGTTGGTGTGGAACCCCAGGGTTCACCTCCTGGGCAAGTTCGAATCCCGGTTAGGGCGATTGGTACCTTCCAGTGGACTCACCACCTGCAGGAAGGTTCAGGGGGGTTGGTACGATGCAATGTGGTTTGGGTGGCGACTGCTGCCCCCACGACCCGCTAACGGATAAGTGGATGAAAATGGATGGATATTTGTAATTTTGAAAGAGAATATAATACAAAATGGAAATTAAAAAGTATTTGTATTATGTCCAAGTATTGGGGACACATTGAGGGAAAAAAATTAAATTACAATGAAGAAGTTTATGGTCACACAATCACATTTCTATCCTCTCTCCTTCTGACCCATCACCAGAGTAAGCAGGGGGCAGTGTATAGGCACACCTAGTAGATTCGAAACTGCAACCATCTCCTCTTAACCACCAGGCCACTACTCCCCCAAATAAGTGTCATAATTGTCTTGCAAGCCCTGGATTGGAGCCCACGCCGCCTGCATAGGACTCTGTCTCACAATGGGAAAATTCAACTCTCTGCAACCAACACTGCCATGGGAGGCGCCATTACGTACGTGCTTCCTTTAGTGAAACTGAAGTGAAAGTGAATTACTTGTCATTTTGACACTGCACAAACTGAAATGTAACCTCTGCATTTTACCCATCACCAAAGTGAGCAGGGGGCAGGTTAAGCAGTGTGTGGGGACAGTGCCATATACAGTATATACATATATATATATACATATATATATACATACATATATATAATATATATATATACATATATATATATGGCACATAGATATGTATCTATATATATGTATCTATGTATACATATACATAGATACATATAAACATACATATATATATCAAATTAAAAGGAAAAAGGTGCAGGTGTACGAAAATAAAGTTGTGAGTTGAAGTTGAAGAGCACTGAACAACAAAGACTATACCCACAACAAGAGGATCATTGGGGGCATCAGGACTTGAAAAGAATGAACAGAAAACTTTATGACATTATCAGAACGACATTCTTCCAACTATACAGACATTCTTCCAAGTCTGTATAGTTGTAATTTTTCCGAAGTCACACCGCTTTTTGCTTGGAATATACTGCAGTGACTGTGCGCCGTAACATTGAAGTGTTAAGACCTGAAAGTCACTGCAGACCAGAAGGTAAATGTGACCCTTATATACCCCTCTCCCCCGCCCCACAACACCGTGTGGATTTAATTTGACCTGAACAAACATGTTTTATTTACTCATGTTTTTACAAAGTCACAGATGCTGCCCGTCAGCGGTGCTGCCCTTGAAAAGTTTCCCTCCCTTCATCTGCAGCTTTTATTAGAAATTCATTAAAATTCATTAATTGCTTCCTTTCTCTTGGGTGCAGTCAGAGTCAAAACTGGGACTGTCAAAAATTGGAGCAGGAGCTACTGTCCCCTGCTCCAGAAAGGCCACCTGTGACGGCAGCAGTCAGCAAGCAGCTTTCATACCTGGAAAAAAAACTAAGAAAATCAATGTGTTATTTTAACAAATTTAAATAGGAAAAAAACTGAAGATGTTAAACATCGTCTTCATTGATGAGATGGGAGGTAAGATTTGCAAACCCCAAGAAATGTTTGGTGGTCCAGTCCTTAGAGGGTTTTTAAGATATGCAGAGAGAAACTAAAAGGAATTACAATTACTGACTAAAGAGAAATTTCTACCAGCCACAAGTTCAACGCTCAGAATGCTAACATGCAACAATGGTTTTGCTGTTCAGTTTTGTTCCTGTAAATGTAAGCAGTTCACTGTAAAACCCACTGAAAACAGGAATATAAAATTAAGAAAGGGAACTATTTTTTTTCCCTTTTTTTAATAAACTACAGGCTCTAATCTGTCATGTATTATTTGCTGCGAGTACATGGGGTTTTTTCAAGGGATGTGCATTGGCAAGAATCCTGCAATAGATAGATGGAGGAATAGAAAGACAGACAACTTTAAACCTATCAATAATCTATCTTCTCACAGAGTGTGGTCTCAGCCCTCCCTTACACAACTGGTATGTGAAAGCAGAAAACCAAGCTTCCTATTAAGAGTCTATGGTTTAAACATGCAACCGGCAGAATGACGACAGTACTGCAGCCATGTAAAGAAGTAGACTTAAATTTTATTTACTTGTTCTGTACATAAAGGGTCAATACCAGCAACAGGTGTTAACCATGGGAAATATTAACACATGTAAATGGTATAAGAAAAATAAAAGGCACAATCGTCAATTCTTAAGTAAAAGACAGACTTTCCTAAGAGTATGAGAAAAAAGAGCACAGTAATACTGTTAATGCCATTACAAAACTCAAAAGCATGAGAAGAGCAGAGTTCACCTCCAAGGAGGAACTAATCGAGGGCGTATTGCTTAATTAGTAGATCTCAGATGTCTGATGAGGGAGAACCCACAACGGTTTGTTTGTCTGCACAGACCACACGGGGCTGAACATGAAAGAAACCTTTTTGTTTAAAGAGGAGATAAATGACATTAAGCAGCATTTGGCCGAGCAGGACCATCTCCACGGCCAGGAGGTCATGCACGGAGGCAACCAGCAGGCATATTTCCCTTTTGTAAATGTCACCGTAGGTACTTCCAATTTAATAACAGCTCATTTAAAACAAAAACCCTTGATTTTTATTATGACCGCCTACAAACTGAGTAAGTGAAGAGCATGTTGGTTCAAGCTGCACAGAATAACTGAGAGCAAACGGCTGGGGTTTTGATTAGAGGAAAAGCAGGAAGAGGGAAAAAAAAAAAAGCCAAAAGAAAAAAAAAATTCTTTACAGCAGAGATGCAGATGTAACAGGGTGAACCATAATAGCACAACTCTCGACTTTCTACTGATCAAACTGAAATGGTGAGCAGCACAATATGAAGACAAGTACTCGCCACTGCTCTGCAGGAGTGGATTTGCATTAGGACCACTAACTTGTGCACAGAGCAAAGTAGATCAGGTCAAAAGGCCAAAACTTTCAGGAGTGATGATGTACTAAAAACAGAAGGTTAGAGACGGGGTATCATGCACTTAAAGATGCATTTACCATACTAAATGTTGTTTTTCTTTTAAAGGCAGTTATAGGATCTTGTTGGCTTGCTGAGACTTTTTCTTCAATTACCTGACCTTGCACTAGCGACAGTGTGACTTCTCACCTAGGTGAAGTTTAGCCTGCCCATGCTTGTTTCTAGCCAGCCAGTTTGAAGCTCAACACTCCAATGCAAAAGAGTTGGAAATGTATCCGCTTGGTGCTGTTGGCACTGGAAAAAACCCACAACATTTCTGAGCAATGTCCTTATGAATGAGACGGGACAGTTAGGAGATACGCAGTGGACATGCAAAAAAAAACAAAAAAACAATCACCACCCTACGATACATTGTCTCTGAAATAAAACAAATATAGTCACACACACGCAATTATTGTTGATCATATGGCAGAAACCAGGAAAGAGATGAAAGCACATATGGCCGCGTCATGTCTTAAAGATAAATAAGTCTTTTCAGCCAGAATGGTGCCAAGTTGAACATGATCACATCTACAATTACAGTTAAATCCATCTCCTCTGGTTTATTTAATCTCCAGTCTAGGGCTGTCACTTTTCTTTCAAACATTAAAGGTCTGATGCTGTGTTGTTAGGTACTTTAAAACCTAATGAAAAGGTTTTTGGCATTGCATTTAATGCATGTCACTTTGTTGCTGAAGGGCATTGCATTCAACAAGTGGCCATGTCATGGCCCCAAATCCACAGGTTTTGGCCAGCAGAAACTACCGTTTCTCTTCCCATCTAACCATGAACAAAGGCCGACTGCAGCTGCACTCGGTTTAAAGACACAGCAGAAATCGTCATCTTGAAGTTAACACAACTGGCAGGGTTTCTTAACCACCTCCAGCAGCAGGTAAATATGTCAGTACGGTTCTTGGCCAGAGTCAAGCAAGTTTGTGCAAGTTTTGCACATTTACAAACACAGAGTTTGCAGTCCGCTTCAATGTCCAGCAGAGGCAACAATACCTGCAGGCCAGCCTTGGGCCGACTAGTAAAGGAGGACCAGTGACTATGTGGTTTTGCGTCAACACAGCAGCTCAACAGTCCTCCAGATAGACCACAAAAACATCCAAACACAATACATTCCAAGTTCATGAGTTCTGCCTTTCTGCTTTTGAACTTGTGACTAATGCCTCTGTGCCTGCACATGATGAGAATGGTTTCCAATCACTTTTATTCACTACTTTAGTCAAACCACAACACACACATGGTTTGTGTAGCACAAGTAAGGAGGCCTGCCTTCTGAATAAGTGACAGCCCTATTTCAGTCACAATCCATGTCTTTACAACCCAGGACCCTCATCCCCAAGAAAAGGCTTCACAATTCAACGCTTAAGCTACAAAAGTGACATGATTGTTTTTTGGAGAAATAACTCCCCACTGGCTGTCAGCTCATTTATAGTCTCAGTGCTCTCAAGTCCACAGGGACAAAGCTTTCCCCTACTTTGTAGAACTATCCTCAACAACAACACACTGACACTTTCAAAATTATGTGGGACTTCAAACATAAACAAAAAATACTTAAGAGAACTCAAATCAAAACAGACAGGTCGTCATGAAATGTGGTAAATATCTATAGTAAACACACACCTACACACATGCACTTATACATACACACACTCAAACTGATGCCCAGTGATCTGGAAATGAAATGGACACTAATGCAAGAACACTGCCCAGGCTGGAACCAAGACCAGGGCAAAAAGGAGCGAAGGAAGTGGGGTCAGGTTTTTTAGTTTGGATCCAATGTCCAAAGCTGTAAACAGTCCAAAAAGCCTCGCAATGGTTGGCAACAAGAGGGGTCGCAACCATAACACAGCCCTAAGCAGGCAAGCACGTAGCCACGATGACACTGGTGGGAAAGGTGGCGACAGCCAGCAGATTTGGGAACACGCTGTTGTTGGGGTGAGAGGCTCCGGTTGAGGTCAGTCACTCTCATCTGGGTTCTGGGGGTCTATGATTTTCACATGTGTGAACGGGAAGAGACCTCGCCGTCCGTTCACCTCTCCCTCCCACTGACCACTGATGTTCATCCTAGTAACCTTGACAATGTCACCAACCTGAGAAGAGAAAAACGAGAGGCAAGATTAAAAAAGAAAAAAAAGTAAATACATTAAGAAATCTTTTTTTGCAGTACCCAGGTGCAGTCTAAGAAATGTTTAAAAACTGATTAAAATAACATGAATACTCCCCTTACTAACTGACTCAAAATCCACCAACTCTGAGGCCAAATTTTGAGTTTGTAAACATTTTTCTTGACACTTTCCCATAATTGGAATTAGTCACAAATAAAATCAAGTGAGAAACACTAACATCTTCTGCTGTCTTTCTGTTCCAGAAATATATATTTTAAAAATCAAATAATGATTAAGCAGGATTAATTATGTTCTCAATTAATAACAATTTATCGTAATAAACCCGAAGTTCCACTGTGATTACTAAACAAATTGAACAATTTCATTAATATACACAAAATAGTTGAAACACTGCCACCTTCAAATTCAGGATTCAGTCTGAAAAACTCAAACTGACACATATACACATGATATTAAGGTACAATCACACTTCAGTGACAAAAGTTGTAGTTGGGGCTCTAATGATTCCACTTCAACTCCTGGTTTCTCTTTTGACTGTTTTGTTCCATTAGCATTAACACTGATAAGTTGACAGTTGTTGTTTTTTTTTTTTATGTATATTTTGCTGTACTGATGTTGTGGTACTATACGGTACACTTTGTACAGGAATTAAGCATCGATGACATATGTGTTGCAACAGGCCCTGGTGCAAGAAAAACGCCCTGGAAAAACCATGGAGACAAAAACGGCAGTGTTTCTTTAATATTAGCAGAGTTGGAGTTCTGAGTGCTTAAGTACAAGCCAAAAAGTACAGCCAAAAATAACTGCTAAATAAATTGCTTTAAACATCAAGAGATTTATAGATAATCAAAGTGTGATTGCTAGCTATAGTGTTAGCTGAAACTAGACAAATAACAGCAAGAGGATGAGCAACCAGAGGCCAGTAGATCGGTCAGGAGTTAATATGGAGACCAACACTTTTTTCTCAGAATAAGATTCGTGCAAAAGCTACTAGTGTGTGTTTCACTGAGAGGACAGAAGCAGAGTGTAATCACTCGAGAGTTTGTCACACGACGTGACCCCAATCTCTTAAACCTTGGTCTGTATCAGGATTAGAGAGGGACAAAGACCCCATCACGAAAACCAATGATTTAAAAGTACAGGGGGTTTCTATTTGTGGCTTTAACTTCAATGTAGGGATTCAAGGACATCCAGTCCTCAACGTCATCAGTTACAATAATCCTCAATGTCTCTCTGGATTGACAAGAATGCTGCTAAGTCATACAAGTTGCTGGAATCTGCCTATTAAACCACTGTGTAGGAAAAAATCATAAAACTTTCAATATGAAATGTTAAAGTGTATATTCATTGTTGTGTAAGTAACATGTCTGACTAACATATGACTAAAAGCAATATAAGCAGAAAAATAAGAACCTCAATCTGGAGGTCTAAATAACTGAGGACATGATTTGATGGGGACGCCTGTCTCTAAGGTAAATAATGGCTTTTGCTTTTTGAAGCCCAGGGTCCCGAAAATAACTATGGTACAAAAGTAGAGTTGTTGCTATAGGCCAGAACCTATTAAAAACCATAGTCAGACGAAGAGAGGATTTAACAAGCAGGGGTTACATGAGTCATCTTAAGATATTGGATTGAAAATCAACAGCTGTCACATCTGTCTCTGTTCGTACTGTCATTTAATCCTTTAGACAATTTTATTCATATACAGGTAACCTGTATGAAACCTGTGGTTTCATCGTGTGGCTGTTAGTATGCATGCCTCAGAAGAAGAGAGCAGAGTCCTAGGTTCGATTCCCAGAGGAACAACATGTTTGATATTGTTAATCCACCTCTGGAAGTCCTTTTGGATAAAAATGTCTAAATGCATAAATGTAAATGTAACCTGTGCTTGATTCAAGACGTATTGCGCATTTACTGAAAACACCAGTTCACATGCTGATTAGATAAAGAATCAGTTTTTGTGTTGACTGGAAAGCACTCAACTGTTGGTAGAAAACTGGGTAGTAATGAGCAGTAAATAGAGCAGATAACATCCAATTGAATTTAAAGTTCGAGTAGAATAATTTTACAGTCAAACTGATTGAGATATGCACACATTGTTAACGTGTATCAATTTGTGAATTTTGTTACAGAGCTAACCTTTTCTACAACACCACCCACCAGGTTTGCTCACTGTACAATTACACTTGTTTCCATAAAAGAGACACAGGAACAAATGTATCACAGTAATCATCTGGAGATGCAGAAATGACTCCTCACATCCAGTGGTGCATGCTGATGTCACTGGAAAGCAGCAGAATCAGGCTAAAAATAGGAATCAGGTACTGAAACCTAGCATTGAATGGATTGGCATAAATCAATGTCTGTCAGAAAACATTAGCATTGACAATCCTATTCAGTCTCAGCAAGTTTATTAACAACCTAAATCATTCGCAATAGTTTTGCAGTGCACTTACTATTTAACAACCGGTTCATTTTCATTAATTATTTTGGCGGATTTTATCATTTAATTAAATGTGGGGCTAGCGATCATGATGCTAACATAATAGTCAGCCATCTGTGACCGTCCATCACACCAACCTTTGTCAGTGTATTGAAGGCTTGAAACTGCAAGTAAAAAAGTTTGTGTGGGCCAACGACATAGTCAAAGGTGTGAATGGAAACTTGACAACAATTTACAAGAACAAGTGGGGAAATACACAAATGGCCATTGGAGTAACTAACATCTCCTAAATGTTAGCTTCGAGTACAATGGCTTCACTTACTAAACTCTTGTTGGTTAATGCCACATTATGACTTGTATAGCTATAAATAATGAATGAGGGGCGTGTTGATGTGTTCCTAGAATTCTTAAGTTTTGCTTTAAGATTAAGCGTTCAGCTGCCGGCAAACAATTTTTAACCACAAAAAAACAATACCAGACAAAACTTCTTGTATAAAAGATATTACAGGACCAATTTTAATCTTAGGTAGATAAAGTTTTAATCTTAATTTGCAATGATATATTTTATGTCCACCCCCGCCTTCCAATACCATCAATACAAACAAGTCTGCCATAACAGTGGAAGCTTTTAGGAGCCTTGCTATAGATGTGAAGTGCACATTAAGCACAAGCTCACATGCTTCAACATGCTTCTACAGTCAAAACTGATTGGTGTGAGCCAAGTTGCACTGATAAGAAATGCAGCAACTGACTAGAAGACTGACTGAAACCTGAGCCAAGTCAGTGAAACTAAGGCTAATGTTGGTATAAAAAAAGTAATTTAAGAACATTTGGGTTTAAAAAAAATCTCCTTTTAAATTTTAAAAACCTGAAGTTTATTCAGTGTTTATCACATCCAGAACAAAAAAAACAAATTTATTGTTTTCTCAAACCAGAACGCAGGTAATTGGTGCATAGTTCAATTCATAATTATAAATAAATAAATAAGAAATTTCTAGACTGCAGAAAGAGCGCAGGTTATTGAAATAGTTTTACCAACAAATGTTTATTCCTGTTGCTTATTAGGTGAAAATTAATTGCAGTTTCATAAACACCAACTCATTTGTGGTGGCCCACAAGTGCAACACAACTTACCGCAACTAAGACGTCTACCAAAGACATTAAGAATACTAACATATGCTGTAACCTTCCTGTGAACAGCTCCCACTTGTTTTGTACTGTACATGACAAAAATATAGGGTGACAGCTCATTGGTCTGCCCTCTTGGCACATAAAGGTGACTTCTTACAAAGAACTCAAATGTAAGCTGAAAAGAACACAAACTCTGTACCACTTTCATTTTATTCTTAATAATTTACTACGTAATTGAATTAAAACAAAGTATAAAAGGAAGTGCAGTTTCATTAATAAGATTTTGGCTTGTGTTCTTACATGGCTTCCACTGAGGCTTCTGGAATTGTATTCTCTGAAGTATGTCAAATCTACAAACCTGTCCCCAGGCTTTGCATGTGTTGGAGTAAAACTGGAAACCATGGATTCATTTTATGCTTGCATAATAAAAAAGTCACATTTAAGTGGCTGCCTTAAGGCAAAGAGGTAAAAGACCAAGAACACTTTTTAGATAAAACAGAGGACACTGATTTATATTCACCATACATTACCTCTAGAGCAAGAGCTGTTTTATCGTAGGCGCAGGGCACTCGTCTCTGAATAGCTTTCGCCATGACAGGGCCATTCTGCATGGACGGTAGAGGGGTGATAACTGCTCCGGGTGTGCCAGGGGGCAAAGGCGAAGGTGTCTGGGGCTGAGCGTATGCATGGACAAGAGTGTGCGAGGGCTCAGGAACGCCATAGCTGTTGGAGTTGCGAGATCCATGGGATGGCTGGCCAGACATGGCTATTGGCCGGACCACTTTCTCCACATAGGGGACAGGGATCATCCCGACACGTCCCTCTTTACTCTTAGCACTCCACCACTGCTCTTCAGGTTTCTCAAGGATGATGAGGATCTCCCCTTTCTTGAAGGGAAGGTCCTCTGCATCACTGCCCGTGAAGTCATACAGAGTCCGAACATACTCCACATTATCCTCAGGGCAACCCATGGGCTGTATTGGACCACTCACTGTGCATGGTTGCCTTTTGTTACAAAACAAAAAGAAAAACAGAAGTCAAAAGAGAGAAAAAAAGTGTGAGGCAACCACAATCAGGTGACTGTATGTGACAAATTCAACAATAAATAAATAACGCTTAGTGGTTATGCAACCACATCATAATCATATCAAAAGTTTTATTGCAACACAAAAATCTGTTCTGTTGAATGGTGATTATTTAGTAAACATTGGGTCAATGTCTCCATTTTAGGATATGTTGTCTTAATGTCTGTTGACAACACATTAGGAGACCGATTAATAACACTATCAACAAGCAAAATAAAATGATAACACCTGAATAAAGCTGCAGCTATTTTAAAACACTGCAATCAGAGAACAAAAAACAGAATTTATTTTTGGACTTAATATACTCTGATAAATGACAAGTGATAATGTATCCTTTAGCTTTAAAATGTAAAAACAAAGTTTGCAAAAAGCTTACAAAATTTTGTTTAAAATGACCAAAGGCAAGGATCTAACAATACACTCAACTCATTATACAGTATTAAATGATTTACAATTTTATCACAATTGTTTTCAAACTAAACGAGCTCCAGACAAAATTATGACCAAACACAATGATTCTCTGAAGGAACATAGCACATACCATAACAAACTAAAATGGTCTTGTGTACCTCACAAAGAAATTATCTTAAATATCAGAATACAAAAAATGCACATTTCTATACAGAAACACTGCACATCACCATTTATCTCCTCTTAAAAATAGAACTGGAATAAGTTCTTTATACGTTTAGTTTGAACACCCAATGTCACTTAAGCTACGTAGGGAAACAATTTCTTGTTCACACCCAATGATTTTAGGCACATATTGCCACCTACTCTATTAAGTGTGTAGTCTAATGGTATGACCACTGACTTTTTGAGATAACGAAGGATATTCGTTACACCTTGTTGCGTGATTCTTTTTTTTTTTTAACCAATGGAAATTGTCATGCATTTGTATCAATCTTTAATCGATTCACAATGCTCTGTTACATCCCTAGACCTAAGTGCTTGAGGGTTTTCTATAAACTAACACAAAGGCAAAAATTAAGACAAAATTTGAATGTATCATCCTTGTTTTTTAAAACAATATTTCTTTGCAAAATGCAAGATTTTAAGAATATGTGCATTACACCTTTTGCCAAGAATTAAAAAGTTATAAGAATTTTATGAAAATTTCAAGAATTACCTCTGCAATGCACATAAAAAGACATTTACGCCCAAAGAGAAACCATCTGCATTTAACCCATCAACTCATTCCTAAGTAAATTTTTAAATCTCTTTGTTTCACAATTGCTGATTTGGACAAAAATAAAATTAAACAAGATTTCACAAATCAATCGTTAAAGATCAATAAATGACCTAGTTTACTGCATGTGATTTTACGCTTTGAGAATTGTTGAAGCACTAAGCACCATTTAATGGGTAATACTCAACTAGATAAAAAGTTCATTAGATTGGACCAGAAGGGAGAAGTGTGAGTTGCAGTTTTCTTGAGTGTTGCAGGGAAAAGTGGGTTAGGCCAGATAAAAACAGACATGCTGGTTGGCCTAGATCAGTCTGTAAGAACAGTCATGGAAATGTGGTGCTTCATGTCGTTTAAAGAACATAATGTGGTAGTGCTTAGACGGGGCAGAAGGTGACTTCCTTACCTGGATGCTGGCTCTATCAGAGTCGTGGTGTCCAGGTAGTGGATTTTGTAGAACTCCAGGAGGGCTGAGAGGTGTTCAAACTCTTGGTCACCAATCTTGAGCTTCTTGCTGGGCAAGGAGTTGATGATATAGTGAGACACTTTGGAGTTTTCTGACACTGACAGCACGTAGTCGCCGATACAAGTCGACGAGTCTCGAACCAGAAACACTCCATGCCTTTGTCCTTGTAACCTATTCTGTGCCTCCTGTCGCGACAGGGGTCCAAAATACCAGGCGCACCGATCAGACGAGTCAAACCTAGCAGACATGTTCTCTATTTTTGTTCTAAAATAAGTTAGTATCAATCCACGATATGGGAAACACTACAAAGCAGACTAGACAATAAGTTAAAATTAAAACGTGTTTGCTTGCTAGAGTTACTCAATCACTGCCAATAGCCAGACTTGGAAGCTGCAGGGCAGGGCATTTGTGGCTCGTTTGAGATTTTTCGAGTGCTTTTGCACAGAGGCCACACGACAAATTAGCTATTTGTTATACAGCGGAAATAAACAAACAAGAAACAATCAACCTGTCGTTTCAGAGACAGGCGGAGACTGGTTGAAACCAACTTTGGAGCATACTGTGGTTCCTGTCGCTAGCAGTCAGTTAACCAACATGGAGCCGAACAGGAATGAAACAAACCCTTAACTTGCCATCGAAGGAGGTTAGGGCTCAAGAATGTTCAATGAAGCTTCCTCTTTTTCGTTTCGCCTTCCGAGAAAAAACACACAGCAGGCTTTTCTTATAATAAACGTCTCTAGTCCACTCACTGTGTCAGTAATGAGAGCGGAAAAAGGTGGCCTCGGGTATTTATCTTTTATCGCCCCACATGTCTGCCAAACTGAGCGACCAGCCGCGGCTTATAAAGCAGATTATTCACTCGATATCTTCTTTTGTCTTCTCAGTAAGGCACGCGTCCGGATAATGCGTTTTTGAGTCCCCTTTTCTTGACTTTTCCGGGCAGACTTTGGAGGCAGCGGAGCCGAAAAAATGGCGGACAGAAACACGTCTTCACACAAAAAATTGTCTCGCGGCAGCGGCTCGGGTCCCGCGCGTGCATCTCTCACGCGCCAGAAGGCGGCTTCGTGGCTGTCGCGTGCATTTCCGACTTCTCACGGACAATTCCAATCCGTAAAATGCGTTATTTGGGTATAAACTTCCCTTCTTTTCTGTTCCTGTCCCACTCACCCGCGCCGCAAGAAGTATGAGTACAGAACCGAAAAATGGCGACGGGAGGGCAGGTCCCGCTCTCTATCAGTACGTCACGGACTACAGGGCGAGAGGAGGGGGTGTCGATGGGAGGGGTGTCGATGGGAGGGAAGTGATGGGTGGGTGATGACGTATGACCCTCTATACTTAACACTCAAAACCTACCAACGAGTTTGAGGAAACTATTATTTCTTCGAATTTTCATGGTACAGCAAGAAAACGTTTTTATCAGTAGTGAAAACATCCGGATGCAGCAGAAAGTCGCCAGGGGGCGACTTGGCTGGCTGGAAAGTCAACTTGTTTAGTTAAAAGGGAAAAAAAACAACAAAAAAACTAAAATATGTCTAATTTGCTCGGCTCTTCTTCACTTATAAATACATTGTTGAAACAGACATTAATGGTGTGAACTACAATTATTGTTGATAATAATGTTATTTATAAAACATGTTATTTAAAAACGGGTAATATATTAAAGTAGTAAGAGTAATATATTAACAAGAGTGCATATTGTGTATTCACAATATTCACCTGATCAAACACTCAGGAGCACAAAACAATTATAAAATCAAACTATTATTGCAACAGTTAAATTTACATCTATTTCTCTATAACTGTTTTTGGGGTGTAAAATACCAAAGAAATTAGTCAGACTTAAACTGTCAAGGTATTTAATGTCATGTTTATAAAAAGCCTTAAACATATATTTCCTTATTTTCATTTCCTGTTTCTCTCCAACTTCTCTCTGTTCAATCTCATTATACAAATATGTATTATCTGGCTCACCACCGACAACCGTGACACAACAGTTTGGGGCAGACCAAGCCAAAATACAATATCCTGACAGAAGAGAGGCTAAATTAAAATGCAGAGCACAGCACCACCAAAGATAAGAGTCATTCATAGAAATAAAGATACAAAAAAATAAAATAAAAACCCAAATCTTTGGTGTCGGAATCTGCAAAGATGTGGCATTATTTGTACTGATGGCAGTAGAAAACTGTGTATCGGTTCCTCTAGTAGTGGAAGTTTTAGACACCCAGGCTCCTGAGGCTGCAGCTGGCACCGAGCTTCCCTCACCAGCACTGCAACACTGTCTGAATTTCAATAGATCTGCACCCACTGGGACTTGGTGGCTAATACTTGCCAATTCCCACAATTCCACAAAGACACAGTGATGCAACAAATTAGGACTGAACACAAAACGAACAAAAGCCCCGTTTTTACTGCATGAGTTTGAAGCAAAACAACTGACACTGACAGGCATATTGTTTGACATCTTGTCAGAAAAGGAACACTGGGATCATGTAGGCTGTTCCGATTACATTGCCACAAAGTATGAAAAGTATTACTTTGCGCCTGTTATGTGGGGGATAAAAAATGTCTGAGGTTTTGTGGAAGACTGTGGCATGACTGGGTGTGACCTGAAACAAAGGAAGGTCTCCATCTAGTGGGGCAAGAGAAACTCTTAAAGTGTAATTTTTCTTTCAACTGGGACTCTTGTTGTTTGTTATGGTGGATATTATGGACAGAGAATGAAGAAGATGGATCTGCTAAGTGGAGGGAAAAGATAAGACCCAGAGAGGATTTATAGATAAATATTTAACAGGATGTGAAAGAAGAACTACTGGTCAGTTAATTTTCTACTAAAACTGAAATCAAGGCAAGACAGTTCCTGGAAACCTGAGTCAAAAGGTACAAACCTATAGCAAAACTGTTTTTAGGTTATTTTTGGAAGGTATATTGTTTCTGTATTCTTATTTAATTTGTGTGTTTAATTAATTTATTAGTAATCTCTGCACAATTATAGTTATCGTGTGTCTCTCTAAAATGTAGGGTTAACTGAATACAAGCTGAATAATGCAATACAAATTCATCTTAAATATTCTGGTTTCAACATCCACCAGCTGCAGTAAACTTACTTCAAAGGTGAAGTCCAAAGAACAATCTTAGTATAAAGCTAGTTATGGTAAATGCAACAAATGCAACACCCTAATTTTAAGGTGCTTTTTTAAAGACAATGCAATTGAATGCAGCTCAAATTTTGCAGGAATTGTCAATCAGGAAATTTGAATTTATGTCTTCATTCAGAAAATGTCTGCACAACATGGGCCTCTGATGAACAAACAGATGTGACTGGTTAATGTAATTTAGCATTAATCAACAGAGCACATTAAATACAAACTTAAATAGCAGTGTAAACACTTTCCCTAAGGTCTGTGTAGGAAGCAGAGCCAAGTTAATTCCAGGAATGATCTGCCCAGTCTGGCTCTATGCAGTTCTCAACCTGCTCTGCACTCAATGTTGCACAATCAGACATTTTTTGTCAGGTTTTGTTTTTAAACCAGGCTAGGGGAATTTGAATATGTCTACTTTCACAGATTACTGACGCTGTACTTCCTTTTACAACCATGTTCCCCATATAACTGAAAACATAAAGCGTTTTAATGTTGAAATTTATTAAACCACACTGCGACTGAGTACAACAGAAATGTTACTGCAGCTAAGGCATCGGAACATTTATCTAAACTTTTATGGTAATTTGATTTGTGAGCTTGAAATCCAGAGTTCTGTAAAAGAACAATACCCAAAAGTCTCAAACTGGACCAAAAGTTTATGATTACTTTCCTAAAACTCAAATATGTACACATTTGAATATATAAATAATTTGTAATACTGACTGTATAACTCATATTTAAATGTGCAAATGGCCGTTGTGAGCTTTTGGTTCTGTTTTTGGTGATGAAATAAATACATAAATACAAACAGGTCTTTGAGGCTAGTAGAATAACAAAGACTTAAAATTAGATTAAACTGTCGTTGTGTCTTGTAATTACAAACACTACTTGAGAATATCCAAATTAAAGATATGCATATACAGTAGGTTGGGGTGACAAAGGCTTGAAATGGAAATATATTAGTAAAGAAATGTTTTATGCCCTCTTTCTATTTCTAAGTCTGAATCTAAACAGAAAAATCCAAGACAGCCAGGCTGTACTTTAGATGCAATCATTTCTAGATCATTTCTACATTTCTCTGACATCATGAACAAACTAGCCACCGTTGCACTGTAAGGAGACATTACGAATATTGATGTAAAATTAAGCAAAAATACCATAAGTTTATTGTATTGGTCGTGTGTTTGCATGGAAGTGCATAGTCATTACATCAGTGTATTTCAACTTTGGGGTCACGGTCCCACATGGGATCACCTAGACTACAAATGGGGTTGCCTTACATGTCAGGTAATTGATAAAAAACATTACTGATAAAAATATTTTTTTTCAACTAATTATTATTCTTGTAAAATGATAATTGAAAACATACAATATGTGTATAACACACATACACACACACACACAATCTTAAACAACTATTATTTCACTTTCATGAATAAAATCAAAATGTCGTGAGAAATTTGTGATGTTACAAAGGGAGTAACAAGCCAAAAAAAGGTTGGGAATCAATGCATTACAAAGACAAGACTTTTTTTCTCGAAATCTGGCCCATATGGATGCCTCCCTCACTTAATGGTCTGGAATTATGTTTTTCTGTTTTGGTTTTATTTTTCAAAACCAAAAATTTAAATTAGAACATAATTTTAACTTCTTTACAAAAACCGTCAAGTTGTTCAAACAAAAAATATCTCCAGTTTTTTATTGTTATACTTACTTGCATCAGTTCTTGTGACTAAGGCTTTTTTTAAGGACCATAAAAACCTGGGTCCTGAGGAGGATGCTGGTAATTCTTATTTATTTGGTTTTAATTCAGTGCAGTCCTTTTAAAACGGTCTTTCTGCAGAGTGCGAGTTCTACGCTGTCTCTCTGCTACGGTTGGACTCAGGCTTTGCTTAAGGGCTGGGAGAATGATTCCAGACTGAGGAGGTCCAGACCTGGAGCAGGAAACACGGGGTGGACTAATTAATATGTTTTATATCAGCAGAGGTGACAAAAAAAGCAAAGAAAAAAAAGGTTAAGAGACAAAGACACAAACCTCAATCCTGGATAAGTTTGCAGTCTAAGTTTTGGACATGACTTTTCCTCGGATTTGCTTGAAAGATACAAAAAAGTTACACAAAAAGAACAGCATGACTGTTTTGTAACTATACATAGTATTATTATAACTATATATAGATTTATAAAGATAAATATATTTATGAAAATAAATAAAGACAAAGATGGTGTTTTACCTTGGACTGTCGACCAGGTAGCCCTTGGTCAGGCTATAGTTTTCTGGTGAGATCTTTCTGCTCAGGACAATATCTCTGAGCACGGCCTTCACACGTAGGAGCTGTGGACACGGGGACACATCACCCAGTTAGGGAAGTTCAACCACATAAAAAATATGTTTTACTGTCAGTGACTTACTTCCTGAGACTGTAAACTGTTAGCATTGTACAGCTGCCGGATGATAACCTCACACTCCTGTAGTGTGGGAGCTCGTGGTGGACAGGAGGGGTCACTGTGGATTTGAAGAGGCTGCAATGAAGTGATGCGGCTTCCATTCATGTCTGGACCACAGTTCTGTCTGTTGGACTCTGAAAAATCACCGCTTCCTCCAAAGGTTCTGGAAGTACAGGGAGATAATATAAAGTGAATGAGGCCATTAGCATGGCAACATGAGTTGATGGAGAGGACACACACACACAGAGACGATGATGGAAATTCACCTCAGAGTCCGGTTTTGTGAGGACTGTATGTCCTGCAGCGGCTCCTCCAGGTAGAACTCATTGTGAGCCCCCCTTCCATGCGTGAGGGGTCTGAGGCTGCGTTGACTTTGCATCGGCTCTGGTGTAGAAATAACTCCGTCAGATACAACATTGGTTCCAGAGTGGGGGGCAGGGCCCCTCTAGGTATTTACTTATTTGTGCCACAGTGGTGAAACTGAACTGATTTGTAAATCAGTGAGAATAGCAGTTTATAATAGGGGGTTGTTTATAATAGGGGCTTGACAATAGTCCTGTCTACAATAGGGGGCGCTGCAGTAAAGGTTTGGGAACCACTGAGATATAGCAAGCCAATATAAAGTATGTGTTAAAACATTATTTTGCCTTAATAATAATATATTTAATAATTCAATCGTGAACAGACACTGGGCAATGGGTTTATTTTATATAATTTGTTGTATTATGTGGGTTATTTTAAAATATATGTTGTTGTATGTTAATTATGCGTTCGGACAATTAGGGACAGCTTAGACCATTGTTTCCCAAAGACTGGCTTGCGTCCCTCAGGTGGGTCGCAAGAGATTTTCTTTTGGGTTGTCTCGCATCATGTTTCCCAGGAGTTTATGAATAATGTCTAATGACTTGGGTCGCAAAGGTTTGTGACTTTTAAAATATGGGTCCCCAGAAAGAAAGTTTGGGAAACACTGGCTTAGACGGTACGTTTGTATTTCCAGAGGATTACTGTAGTGTTGTGATCTCACGTACAAACTAGTGGTCAAAGAGTAAGTAAGTGAAAATTTTTTAAGACAAAATTTGAATTGTGAAAGGTGACTGATTGAAATCACCAAGACACACAGGGACACTCTCAGGTGTCTCCAACAACAGATGTCACTATTATAGAATTTATAAATCTTGACTGATCTTCGTATACTCTATACTACTAGAACTGACTAGAAGACCAACATTCTTACCTTTTCTACTCAACCTGGGGGGCTCCATTATCAGTTTATAGTGCAGATCTGCAACAGTCACACGGGAAAGTTACACTCTGTA